CCCCTCAGCACTTCACCCTCCATGTGCTGCGCACGCACCCTGTACGCCTGCCTTGCAGCTGCCTCATCACCCAGAAATGCGGGGGAGGCTTCATTCTTGCATGAAGGGTTCAGAGCGTGTCTGGTGCCCCTCCCCTTTGTGCTGGTTTCCCCCCAGCTCTCCTCCTTCCTGGCCTCCCACCCCTGCTCCAGCTTCCTGTCCTTTCATGTGCCTCCCCTCCTCTGCTCCAGGGTACGAACTGCTTACCAGGTGGAGATGACTTCTCCCCACCCCACAATTAGGTGCAATTATAAGGTCATGCTTTTCCCCCAACCCTTGCTCTGGTGTGCATTGAAGGTGGACGAGCTCATGAGCGGACTCCTGCTCCGGGCTAACAACAGGCAGGACACGGAGCAGGGCCCTGGTCTGTGTGGGTGAGCGGTGCCGGTGGGTGCTGGAGGTGGGACGACACGAGGGTCCTGGCAGTGCTGGGGATGGTGTGGCCACTGAACACATCCTGGCCTGGTGGCCCCGAGCAGGGACTCAGCTGCAGGAGCCTGAGCCTGCTCCATTCCAGCACAGGATACCTGGGTGCTTCCTGCTGTGGTCAGGCAGAGCCCAGAAATGCGCCCCTGGGGAAGGTGTAGCCAGCGCTTGCGTGGAGACAGGTCCCAGCAGCCGGCAACGAGCTCAGCTGTCAGCTCTTGTCATCTGTGCTTCAAGGCGTATGGTGTCTCCGCACCCGTGGGATGCCCCTTGGCTGGCAGCAGCCAGCGGAGGAGTGGGGCTCCACGCGCTGCAGCCCCTGGGCTTCTGAAGGTGCTGCCTTTGGCTGGAGGAGGGACCCCTGTGTCTCTCCTACCAAGACATAGGTTTGCTTCCAGTGCTGTTGGTGCTGGCTGCAAGGGAGCTGACGGCAACAGCAACGCCCACCCCACATGGCATCCCTGCTCTTGCTGGGGCTCAAGGAGAGTCAGCTCTTGGTGGCTCCTGGCTCCTCATTGCCTCCTGGCCATGTCCCAGGTGCTGCAGGTTTTGTGGATCATGGGTGCGTGAACACCTCACTGCTCCAGTGTGACTTTGGCTGCAGGGTGCCAGGAGCCAAATTTGCAGTCAGCGCCCAGCTATCTGGGCATATCTCTGGCAGGGCCAGCGCTGCCGGGCAGCCCTTGGGTGCCAGGCAGTGCCTGGAGGCCAGAGCAAGCACGAGCCCCTCCTGCTGTGGCAGGGCAAAAGGCTTCATCAGAACTGCTCCATCCAAGGGCAAAATGCTACCACCAGAGCCAGGGAGTCCTCACTCCATCCCATAAGAGAGTGCTCCAGGTGCAGATGTGGATACGCGCACAGACACACCTCCACATGCTTGTCCTCACGCACACAGGGCAAATGCTGTGCTGTGGCCAAGGCCGTTCTGCAGTGCTTTCTCCTTGGTTTGCTCTGCACGATGCAGGCAGCCAAGCTCAGGAGAAAAAACTGAACTTGCTGGTCTGCTGCAAGGGGTGGATCTCACCTCCACAGTGCACTATGGCATGGCAGCGCTCGTACCATTCGGGTCAGGGCAACTGTCCAGGCTTTTTCTGATTTCTAACCTGTTTGTATCACAAGAGGTGCAGATGCACGTGGGGCTTGCAGAGGGTCTGCAGGACACCTCTGACTTTGACATGGGCAGCCAGAGCAACCCCATGAGGAACATGCACATGGTGGCTGCCAAACTGCTGAGGGAGCTGTGTGCAGGCAGGGAGAGCCCCTGCGTGCTCCCCTGCCCCATGCCAAGCGCTGCCGGCAGGACCGTGGAGCGGGTGCTCCCCCAAGCTCTTCACCCACAGCCAGAGCTGCTGGGTCTGTGTTGGATGAGCCGTGCTCAGCCACGATGGCCATCGAGGTCCTGAGAGCACCTCGGCTGTGGCCCTGTTTCAGGGCACACCTCAGCAGCATGGCCCTGTTAAGGGACAGCACTGAGCTGTTTGTGGCTCTTGGGGTGGCATTTGGGCAGCCACGGCCTCAAGTGTGTGTGTGCATGCATGAGTAAGGCACGCGGGGCAGTGTGTGAAAACACACCTAGAGAGAAAGTCCCAACAGAGATTAGATTAAAAGAAAATGTAATTAAACACAGAGAGCATCCTGTCTGTTACTCAACTCTCCTTGCATAACTCTTGGGACCGGCTGCCTTCACAGATGGCTGCTCTGCTGTCAAAGTCATTTGCTGGGCACTTGTTGGAAAAACTGCCAGGTCAGCACAGAACTAATTGCACCAGCATCTTTCCTTGTATTGAGATTTAAAAGTCTAGAGGAAGAATTGCTGAGAGGTCTTGCAGCTCCCCAGGTGAGCCTGCGATGCCTGCCACTACTTAATCCTCCCCGTGTACTCCTGCGAGTGACTGTGATGGGGACGAGGACATTGCAGTGGCCCAGAGAGTCGCCAGGGCTCAAGTGGTCCCTGGCAGAGGAGGTTGCACATACCCCCTGGGAGCACGG